CTTTCTTCAAATCGATACGTATCTATTGCTTTTCTGCACTTTCCGCACGTTCTGCACTTTCGGCACTTCTGCAGTTTCGGCATTTCTTCACGAACGCAAGCTATGAACGCGGCCTTAGAGAGCTGAGGATAATGGCAAGAGACAGAGGAGAGAATAGCAATGCCTGACGCCGAATTTCTTGTTTGGTGAATACCAATAACCCGTACGAAAGATAGGGATGATAAATCAAGTCTGCCATACTCACGTCCTACGGAATTCCGCCATCTTCAACAACAGTCGATTGAATCGAGCCAATTTTTCAAATAATTCCGAGTCAAGAGTATCTCGTCCGAAGACTCGAGTGAACCACGAATCGTTGCAAGTAATCGCACTTCCTCTTAAACCGCGATCTGGAAGAGTCGTAACATAGCAGAATGCATGTAATCGAGTTAGAGAATCAAGCTCATTCTGGTATAAGGCGTGGTTACTCGCCCAAGAAGAGGTGAAGCGCTTCCGTATGCTCAGTACTCATTTCCGTCACTTTCTTCCACACATCCCGAGGTATTGGCGACTTCAAGCATGTCAGCACGACGAGCTGCAAGTAGCATGCTACGTAAGAATTCTAGAATAATGTTTGAAAGAAAGTACCTTATTATTGAGACGCAGCAGGGAGGAGTCTTGCAGATAAGGTCGAACAAGGGGCAGCAGACGGCAGTGCACATCAGCTAGCGACCAACGGGAATCGAGAACGATCAACAGCTCAACGACTGTTACTCGTATCCACTCGTTCTGAAATACGCCTCAAACAGTACCCAAAAACTTATTTTTTTCCTGCTCTTTGAAAACACGTTCCGCAATTGCTAGTGTGGGTGGTAGGGTTCAAAAAAGAACTTCTAAGTGGTAACTGACCAATAATACAACAGAAAAGCAGAAGAAAACCTTCAAAAACACCCCTACGTAAGGCTCAGCAGATTTTTAGCATTGGACGAGCTTGCGGCTGATGGAGACGCAGAGACACTCAGACAGGAGCGTTTGAGCATAGTGTAAGTGCCCTCAAGCACCTTCTGGAATGGCCAAAGTTGCACGCTACAAAAGACAACAAATCAGCTCCTACTATTCACGCTGGGGAGCCCGGATTTCATAGACAGGAGATCGGGGGAAGGGGTCTTTGATCCAAATTGCGATCGATGAACACAAACGATTGAAGATTTTCTTATTTTCAAAGACCTCTTGATGAACCATCTGAAACATTGTGATCAACTCACCGGATGTGATAAAAACGGTAACGTATCCTCTAAAAGCTCCAGCATTTCGTTCCTTCCCAGTACTCCTGTTTCCACAAGAACAATAATGCAATGTATCGCATATATGACCACCAGTTCTTCAAAATCGTGTAGACCCTGAACAGAAAACACCACATAGGCCTCAAAGCTCGAGGCAAATTGAGCAGCGAGCTAACACGGTACTTGAACTTTCCTCATGGTACGTTGCGAAAGGGAGTTGAGTGGCTTTTTGTTAGGCTTTAGAATTGTGTCGTCTCAAATTTTGACATTTTTTCTGAGACCTAGCCTTTGAGATCGTTTTGCTTTGATGCTAGTTGGCTACCGTAGCAGTTTTTGCTTTCAGAAGCGCAGCAAGCAGCTGATGAGAAGACTGCTCTTCAGAAAGCGCTGAGTGATCTTTTTGAAATGTTGTGTAGCAGTCAAGATAATAGCGTTCGTCATTGTGCCGTCAATCGAGACTCTTTGGCGAAGTTGTACACCTTCTTTGGAAGGATGAATTGTAAGTTTCTTCGTCGACTTAAGCTGTTTACATCTCAAAACTTGATGGCTTTATGTGTTTCAGGTGGAGAGATACTACTGCGGCATATGATTACGTTCTTGAATGTAAAGAGTGACTGGCGATTACGTGCTGTATTTTTCGAGTCATTGCCAATATGTGTGCAAAAGAATAGCTTTGATGTAAAACCGCTGCTACAACAGGTGAGGAGTGCGGTCCATTCCGAGTTTCGCTTTTCTATGCGTACTCTTGTCTGTAAGGCTTTTGGTGGCCACGGTAACTTCACACATGCTATTTTTTGCGAGAACTGGGTAACCCACACCGGAGTACCCCCTCCTTGAAAAGCCCAACCGCTGGTTTGCCATTTGGCCTTTCCCACTTTGGTCTGTTATTTATGTGAATGACTTGCAGGGTTTTCCGAACCGTACAGTCACAACGGTGCATTCCCATTTAAGCCAGAGCTGTCACTTACCTGAAATGTTTTCTGCGCCTGAAATTTCATCATCCGCAACGCCGTTCCGTAAATTCCGTCCAACTACATGGAACCTTCAATGAGAATCGCTCAAATTTCTCAGTATGGAAACTGCTGCTTAGCGCCGCTGTTCGCGCTCCGAATTTTTTCACAAGAATGCTGAGGTACGGGCAAAAGTCAGACCCCAGGCGGGACTCGAACCCGCATCCCCGGCTGATCGTGCGAATGCGCTACCATGCCAATGAAGCCACTCCTACCTTCTCATCTCAATGGCTTTTTTTGCCGTAGCCCTACAAACAGGTTTAACGTAATGAGCCGGTCAGCTGCTTTGGGCAGTGAACTGCAAGGCTGAAGGCTCGAAGAGCGGCCCCGGTAACGTAATTGATAGCGCAGTCGCCCGGTCAGCGTGAGATGCGGGTGATTCCCACCTGGGTTCTGCTCCATAACTCAACATTCTTGTGAGAATACTCAACTTGGTTTGTGGTCTGCACAAAGAGCTTACCTGTAAGCTGTTTCCGCTATGTCACCTAAGTTCGTCGCTACGGCTAGAAGAACGTGGGTCGGGCAAGGATGCCGCTTATCAGTCAACATCGAGGACTAAATTTGTTTGAGTGATTTATAATAGCTTCTGAGTGACCGAAATATGAAATTGACTCACCAGTTCTGGGAGCAGGTAATCAATGAACACCAGTGAATCTTCGAATGTTGCTGGTTCAATTGGTCGCAGAAGTTCCGTGATTGAGTACACTGCTGATGCACGGACTTGGGCGTCGACCTCGGATAAGCAGCAAACCTAAGGACAGAAATCTATTAAAAAACAGATCGTTTGGGCCATAAAGTCACAGACCAAATATGGCAATACTCGCTCTGTCGAAACCACTGGGCTACACAATGACGCCAGTTTTACGAGCAAATTCATAGCATCCTGTAAGTGAAAACATTATCAAAGCCCGACAACTGAAATGGAAGTCTTCCGAAAGGATTAGGGGAGGTAACTGAAATGGAAGTCTTCCGAAAGAATTAGGGGAGGTTGAGAAAAATTCAATCGAGCAGCTAGGTTTCAGTAATACCGACATATTTTTTGGAAGAACTCACAATTTTCGCTGGTACACTTCGCAGCACACGAATATTTGCTTTGATGAGCGATATGAAAAGGATGGCATAAGGACGGTTCTCTTCGCATTCAGTAAGACGCTCCCAAATGGATTTCTCATCTCGTTTGAGCCTCAAAAAAGAACGATTTACGGTAAAGTCGTTTTCTTCTCTTCATATTATGAATGCTTACTTGGCAATGACGTCATCGGGCTCAAGATGGAATGTCATCTGTGACTGTTCGAACCCTTCCAGTGACTGTGATGTTGTTATTTCCTTAGGACGAAAAGCATTTAGATAACTGAAGAATGCATCCAGAACTTTGGGGAAATGGAGCACTGATCCATCTAACTGAAAAAAGCGCGCGAATAGCATTACAAAAAACCGTATAGGTGCTCTCAGATGGAGTATAAAACGTCATCACTTACTACTTGCTGTGCAGAAACACGAAGAGACGGATCGCGATTCAATAATAACTTCAACAGTGGGCGGAACTGTGGAGCAATATCCTGCAGTAATCTAGAAACAGCAAAGAATTGGACGATTCCACTTCATCTTCGATATGTTTTGTATGCGGGATGGAGCTACAGTCTTGCTCAGTGCGGCTGAAAGGTCGTGTCAGGCGGGTTGGTTCTGGAGCGGCGCCAAACGCGTTCTCTACCAATTGTTGAAGCGGGTGAGCGACAACATTTGTTAGAAAATGGCTAAAAGAATAACATGATACTGTGTTGTCCTTTGCTCGCTTCAACAGTTAGTGGAAAACGGAGATGGCTTCACACCAAACCACTCGCCTGACACGCCCCTCATCCGCAGCGAAAAAAAGTTTTGATCCAAAAGCAAGAGCAGGCATAAACGCTGAGTGAGAAATCACAAGAAGCAGATACCTCTCCAAAAATGACGCCGCATCACTGCTGGACATTCTTTGATAATGACAAAGCTCTCCATAGGAAAATGGAGGCTTTCCGGACTCGTGCAACAGTTCATAGACAACACATCCAACAGCGAAAAGATCCATGGAGGACTGAAGTGAGCCTGAAACTCTGCTGTAAGAACACTCTCAAGGAAAGGCATCTTTCTACTTACCAAAGAGCCATTCATCTCCTTTTTCCTTGTGGATGTTCTCGTAATCTACAGACGAAAGAAACCGTTCCGGAGCAAGGTAGCAGTGCTGATGGCGACTAGTATCGAAGAAAAATGTGAATGATGATGGATTATCCTGAAACCATAGCAAAAGTGTGAATGCTAAAAGTTTCAAAAAGGTGGATGATCAAAAGCCTGGTAACATTTATGAACTATACAAGTTGCTTGGTGGCAGGCATTTTGCAAGTTCCTGTCCTGTACCAGACAATTCTGCAGGCCAGTAAACTCCTGTGAAGCTACGAAAACATATTACTGCTAGATGACACGAAGACACGATTGGGAGCTGAGGGATGAGGATTTGCGCCCAAAATAAAGGAGAAATGGAAGAACTGAACTACTCTCGTGCCTCTAGAGCTAAAATCTTTCTCAGTGAAATGTTAATGAGGACTCAATTAGAAGCTGTCATCAACTTGCTTTCCCTGCGATAACAGCTTTCAAACCTTAACTATACCCAAGCTTCTGTAACTTCAATCCTTCACACTAGTACTGACCCAAAACACTGACCAGACTGAAGTGCTTATCAACAATGACTGAGAGTGCCTAAGAAGAAATCTGAGCTGAAGCGAGTGAACCACCAGTTTTTTTCGGTACTGGTAAAATATTTCTGTAGCTATACATGAACAATAGTCCATTCAATATCAGGTGGGTATTATTCCTGAACGTTTATACTTTAATAAAATATTCGTCGATTGTCTCCAGAAGAGACCGTGGTTGGCCTGAGAGGGAGACCCCCTCTCAGGCCACGCCTTATACCCGCGGGAGACGGTAAATTGGTACCAGATTCGTCTGGGAGGATAAGAACACTGACTTGTACATCGGCTGGCCCCGCAAGTCATTGTATAGGCCACATCGCATTCAATAAGCCACTACGATTCTGAATGGAAGTAGAATGCGTGCCGCATCCCACAAAGGGATTGATCAACGGCGGAGATTTTCTCCTTTTATGGTACAGAAACGAAAACAAGTACCTTACCACAGCTAAAGTTAAAAGACTTCACCAGAATGCCTGCAGTTTACTAGGAGTCTGGAAAATTAGACCACTTTTTCTCCCCTAATCACCCTTACCCCTCCCCAACGGGCTAGTACATATCTATGGCCATTCGAACTCCTACTTCTTCACAATTGTTATCTAATCTTGAAACACTGAGAAGTTTTCATGGGTTCATTAAAAATCTTCATAGAACTGCAGTGAGAAGAAAAGCATCACTTTTCGAGTGAAGGTCACGGGAATCTGTTTACCAGCCAGCACCACAACATTTCCTTCAAACTCACGTGAGGAAGGTAAGTAGGCTTATACGGCGCGAAATCGGTGATTTGTAACCAGTTAGAAGAGGAAAGAAGAACATTCTGCGATTTCAAATCTCCATGGCAGACATTTGCCTTCTGACATTGTGCAATAGCTTTGAACAGCTGATAAATGTACCTGTAAGTTCTCTTTTATGCTGTTTCATGAAACTAAAAAACAGGAGTAATACTGCTTCTGAACTTACCAAATCTTTTCCTGCTGGACTATAAACGGTCTGGTACTCAACCTATCACAGAGGGTCTGTTTTTGAAATGGCCGGATCAATACGGCCCATTTTGGAGTTACCTGAATGCTTCAGTGTTGAGCCGCTGAACAGTGGCTCTTAGCAAATACAAGCCCTTACATAGATCTTTTTCACTGTACAACAATTGGGCGCATTCAGAAGTGCATCTCGAATACGGAAGAGTTCCTTTCGATAAGGCTCGTAAGCCGACGAGTCTTCCTGAAGGTCCCGTTTCAGAGAAGTCTAAGGCTGCGTTCATATTTTGCGTCAGCGTTTTAAACGACTGGGGAAGGACAGGTATCGATCTAGCGTACGCCAGCGTACGGCACCGTTCTGAGGGTACGCAGCGTTTCGAGTAACTAGAAGTGTATAGATATCGAACTAGCGTTTTGATCGTACCTCAGCGTAGTATGGCAGCGTCGCTGAAAACTACGGCGTTTACAGCGACGCTGCCGTACTACGCTGACGCAAAGTATGAACACCGCCTAACAGTACACCATGGTCTATGCAGAGCATGAAAAATCGATAAACGTGGAAAGTCGAAGAATGTTCTCATTCTTCATGCTGTAGGAGGATTAGTTAAGTTCGTGTCACCCTCAAGACGTTTAAAAAGTTTATGACACACCTGAGTGAGAAATACTTTCCATACACAAGTCCCTTCACTGTTGCGACCTCGGGCGACTTTCATAAAACGGGTACTTCCAAGGCTGAAAACAGATCTGCTAAGTCCAAGCTCGAAGTTCGAGTTTCTTAAGTTGATTTTATGGCGCTAAAGTGAATATTCTGTTCATTCCTGTCAATTAAACGGGCTATCTTAAGTCCTGTGAACTACTGTAGAGCTGGGAGACGTCGCAAGCTTCATTTTTCGGCCACTTTTTCGCGTGATGGACAACTTCCAGTGAAGGAAAGTGCGACGAAACAGTTGCGAGACCAGGTGATGAGAATGTGGCACAGTTCGGCTTGGTGGGGGCACCAAATGGTACACACCAAAACTTGTACAAGTCACTATATGAAGACCGGTGATTTCTTGAAAATACAGAGGGCAACCTTTACCACTTCGCAGATTCACAGCAGTTTACAGTTCTCGCCGAAAATTAGACCCGTTAGTTAACATTACCTAACAAAATGAACCAGCAGAAGTGCAAAATGGGGTGGGGGCAGTAACTAATTTGTGCAAAAATGGTTTTCAGTTGCGATGAGTATTCCAGTTTGGTCGGAACAATAGATCCAGTCGTGCTTCACACAGTTCTCTCTGTAATGCCCCCCCCCCCCGCGACCGGATTGAACCATATGCAGATAGTTCGCGCAATTTTAGACTTCACAGCAGTTTACAGGTCTTTACAAATTAGTCCTGCATCTTGACAGGAATCTACAAAATGTCAAGCTTTTGTGATTTGGCGCTGATCTTATTCCTTAGCTATGCTTGCCTTTCTATCGGTTCTCCACAAGCCAAGTCATTAAGATAATATTCCACTGGAAGCACGTCAGACGAACTTGACGACGAGTGTACATTCCCCATGCTGAAGAAAAACGCATTTTAGGCCAAAAACCATCTCAAAAACGATACTATTCCGTAAAAGAAACAAAATTCCTACTCACGTTGTTTCATTGGCTTATTTACATTCAAAGTGGAGTCACACGGGCGATGACAACTGCCACCAAATAGTATGCCCCAAACGAACAATCTTGCTCCAGTAAAAATGATTCCTACCGCGGCGGCGTTGCGGTCTCATTTTAAAATTCGGAGGCGCTTTATTGCGCGCATGGTTTTTGTATTACTTTTTTTCGTGAAGTTGTCGCGTATTCTTGGTCTCTAAAGTCTGAATGCTCTCAAGTCCTTTGGTTGCAGGTATTTTATATATATGAAGATTCACGTGAAACTAGAATGCATATTAAAGAGGTATCATTTATTTGTATCCATGAACGAAGTAAACTAATAGCTTATGGTGTTTTACTAGGTGAACATCACCGGGTTCCGAAGCTATCGCGAAGTCACAAGCATTGACAGCTTCTCACCGAAGCACAACGTCATAGTTGGACGTAATGGCAGTGGGAAATCCAACTTCTTTTTTGGTTAGTGACTGCGTTTTCCTTGTTTAATAGTTTCCATTTTATTTTTCTTGAAAATTGAGGTTTCCAAAAATTAATTAGTGGTGTTAATCCTGATCTCAATAGCCTGGCTTTTCAGAAGGGATTTGTTGCAAAGAATTGAGGTCTTCGAGAGTGTTCTTGAAACTGCGTTCCTACTTTGTGTCAACCTACCGCAGCATTTCGAGCGTACGCCAGTGCTGACAACTAGGAAAAGTATGGGTATCGAGCTCAACGAACACC